CTTTTACTAGCTGCTTGTCCTCTTTTTGGGTCTAATAGTTCACTTCCGGCCTCCGGGGTCTTGGGGTTCCATTTGCACTTCAATTTGACATGATTTCGCTGAGTCGCTTCCTGTGGATCTTGTTCTCAGAACTCGACAAAGATATTCACGGGCTTGTGTCTCTGCGTCCCCCTCTATCTGTTGTGCACTTTGGGTTTTGACATGCTTTTTGCTTTTATGAACTTTGCTATCTCGCTCCAGCGGATGTTGTCGTCAAAGGATTCCATTTCCGCCTTCTTCTGGGTGCATTTGCATATTTGGAGCGCCAAAAAACTTTAGAACATTTGTCTTCTTGCCGCCAAAAACAGATAATTGGTGGTTGTCATTTGAAGATATTGAAATGTATTCGGTTACATTTTGGGAAAGAGTTAAGCTCGGTGAATATTAATTCTTATTATTATTAAATAGAAAGAGTTGAGTACTTGCTTTAGACTTTAAGCCTTAGAGAGTCAAAATGACTATGTGTTACCCGGTACCTCTCACAAACGATCTTTTTGCTTGTAGGTTTATAAAACTATAATTATAGTCAAAAAATTCCATATTTAATTAAAAAATAGTATATTTTTTTTAAAAGTAGAAGACTACTATTTTTGTCACCAAATACTTTTATAAAACCGTGGTCCCAACAGTGGTCACACTTTACAATACATTTCAATAGGTTTGAGTAAAATTCAACCTAAATTTTCGGTGCACCAGATAGCGACAAGCCATAAAACTGGAACAAAACATTCACCTAATGATATTTCGGGTCTTTCCCACCAAAAGTCTGGCGCGATTCATAATGACCAAGAATTGAGAGAACACAGATAGGAAAGATATATAAGGGTAGGACATCTCATACCCATCCCGAGTTTGCTGCTCAATGAAACGCAAGCGTCGGCGGCAACTTTTAGACCATAAAATCGAGCAGGGGAATTTTCCACCTCCCGGCATGCAAATGAAGTGAATTTCCCAACCATTTAACCCTTTTCCTTTCTTTCGGCCGAAGTACCATTATGTGGATGGCGTCGACTGTGTTTTATGACCCCCGACCCGGGTCGCAGCGGTGTCTCGGGCCAATTCATAAAAATGCAACGAAAGTGCCAAAAACATCGAAGCCACCAAACAGTGGCTACCTACATTCTTCCAAGACAAAAAGGTGCTAACTAGGCTGTCTAACAATCATCATTATATCTTTTACCTGTAACCCTGTACATCCCTTTTTCAGACCCGCTTAAACTTTGCTAAAAAGTCATATGCTTTCCTCCATTTTTCCAAGAACTTTTTTATTCATAGTTTTTATTTTTTTATTAGCTAGCGACCTTGAATGGCCAGTGGGTTGAAAGGGGTTGCCTACCTAGCACAGGTATAAGCTGTTCAGGCCTGCTGCTGACTGCTGTTTCAATTCTTGTGGTGGATTTAGCGCTAATCCGGGGGATTAGCAGATGGCCGGCGTTCCGATTTCATTAAGTACGGGAGCTATACGTAGCCTGAATGAAAGGGAAAGGGGAAAATTTTACTACTACATAGTTTTAACTGAACTGCTCCGACGGAAACTTCCTAAAGTCATATATTCCGCATATTTGTATTTTTAGATTATTTTTATTGCAATAAAACCACGTAAAGGAAAACAATTTTTATTTTTCAACAGTTATTCATTCTTAGATTATATTTCTAATAGCCAATAGAAAGACCTTTATAAAGAGAATCAGAACTGTTTAAAATATTTACAATTTTATTTAAAGATATTTAAATTTTCAAAAAATAGAAGAATAAGGGTAAAGTTCAGAGTCGATAGCTTTATACTTATAAAGACAAACTTAAGACACACTCAAAGTAACTCATAAGTTGATCCCGATTAAATATATATTCGGACCTAATAGAGTCCAATCCTTTCTAAATATTCCTTCTTTGTGGGGTCGGAAAGGTCCTCGGAGGTAAACGACCATAGAAATTTGTAAAAGGTGTTTATAGAATTTGAAAAATAAACCCCATCGTTTGTTTTGATATTTATGTTTTTTATTTTATACGTGTTTAAACTGACTTGGTCTGCGAATTGAACCGATCGTGGGAAGCTCTATAAAATACCGAATCTGCTTATGAATATTCATGAGTTCCCACAATTATGTCGACTTCCGAAACTGGTCAAGCGAATGCTGAACAAAAAGTGAAACGTCATCGTCATCTGGTTTAGTAGAGCATCCTCCCCCCGGGAACTTTGGCTAATGATCTTCGCATAGCATCGCACGCAAACGCATTCCCATGCAGTCCACCTGAGTTCCAATTAAGAGTGGGTGAAGCCACCCCCGACAACCTTAAAATTTTATAAAAACAGTGACAGCATCATCATCGAAAGCCCGTCGGGGGTTGATTAGTCCAATTAGAACGAGGACTACAACCCCCGGAGTGTGTTGATATCATGTCAAGCATTTTATTGATCAAGTTACGCATCCGAAATACGAATCGAAATATAATTGCGCCCTTCAAGTGTCTATCATATATCAAATGAATTGCATTTGCATCTCCCTGCTGCGATGAGCACGTTTCCCTAGTCCGACTGTTCCCACGTTTGAGTGTTAGTTTTAGGAGGACTTCGAGGATCAGGATCGTATGTCCTTAGGCGTTTGGTGCGTAATCGCACCAGACTTGCGGGATCTTGCTTAACATTTATTAAGTACTCTGCGGATATTAAGTACTCTCAATGTGCAATGTCTGTTTCGTTTGAATTCGTTGATCCGCTATCCTCCAAAGAGAGGAAAGCTTGATCAGCTTGCCTTTTCCAGGCAGGGAGTGTTTGGCTATTTGTAATCTGCTTAAGCGGCACGCGATTAGTCCTAGGCCATCGAGGATTCGGTGGGTCCTTTGAGAGGAGAGAGCGATTAGGGGCACTGGCCACTTGAGTCCGATGCCAAGCCGAGCTCAGCAGAATCAGCCGAAGGCTCTCAAAAGGCAACCCCTAAGCTGGCTTAGGCGGGGGAGTAGTTACAGTGACTAGATCTACTGCTGGTGCTCCCAATTTTCATAGGATATTTGCTTAAAATTCTAAAAATAACTTTAAAGCCAATGATTAATTCTCGATGATTAAATTTTGGATATATTAAGAAAATATGTATGAACATTTAAATGCCTTTAAAGGGTATATTTTGTAGGGAAAGATTTCGACTAATTCATTGAAATTTTTACTACAGAAAATGTTTATACATATACAATGATTTATAAACGTATATAACACAAGATAATTAACTAAAACTAAGAAAAATATGTAAAAAAAAGTTTGTAAAAAAATGTGTGACTATAGCGAAATAGTCATTTATAAAATTGGTGTAATCTATTAGTTAAATGTAAAGAAACTTTACTTTGTTTAAAAGAACTTCAAAAGTTTTATTATTACTTTGTAACCTAATGAAAAAGGTAAGAAGTTATTTATTTAAACTAAATATAGTTTGCATTCTAAATCAGCTTTTATATATAAATAACAGTGAAGAAATCATTCCTGAGAATAACAGTGAACTGTTTTTTTTAAATATTGATCAGTGAATGTTGAAAAATCGTTGTCGAAATGTGTGACTATAGCGAAATAGTCATTTATAAAATTGGTGTAATCTATTAGTTAAATGTAAAGAAACTTTACTTTGTTTAAAAGAACTTCAAAAGTTTTATTATTACTTTGTAACCTAATGAAAAAGGTAAGAAGTTATTTATTTAAACTAAATATAGTTTGCATTCTAAATCAGCTTTTATATATAAATAACAGTGAAGAAATCATTCCTGAGAATAACAGTGAACTGTTTTTTTTAAATATTGATCAGTGAATGTTGAAAAATCGTTGTCGAAATGTGTGACTATAGCGAAATAGTCATTTATAAAATTGGTGTAATCTATTAGTTAAATGTAAAGAAACTTTACTTTGTTTAAAAGAACTTCAAAAGTTTTATTATTACTTTGTAACCTAATGAAAAAGGTAAGAAGTTATTTATTTAAACTAAATATAGTTTGCATTCTAAATCAGCTTTTATATATAAATAACAGTGAAGAAATCATTCCTGAGAATAACAGTGAACTGTTTTTTTTAAATATTGATCAGTGAATGTTGAAAAATCGTTGTCGAAATATACATACATCATCAGGATTAAGTCGAATCGAATAAAAGAAAATCTTACTGCAAGTACAAAATTTAAGACAAGGTTCTATAGATGTTTATTAAGAAGTACCAAGTTCTAAGTCAAATTAAATTCATACATTCATACATTCTAACATTTCATACATTCGAAACGTATTCATACATTTCAGAATTTCAAAATTATTGCACAAACAAAAGTTTATATTTTGATATCTTTTAAATACGCATATGATTGCATCATAAAAACCTAATTATTGAATGGAAAACAATCAATAGTGCGCCTTCAACCCCTGCAGCTCGTTTTTTGCCACTCCAAAAAGGACTCGCGTGTGTGGAAAACTAGAAGCGAACCCACAGGTACTTCACACAAATCACAAAGCGGCAATAATGGCAGCGCCATAAACCCCGGCCGGCCATGCCAGGATACGTTAAGGATAACCATGAATGTCCTCTTGGTTGTCTCTTCATTAACAACTGTCGCAAAGGGAGAGAGCAATTCTCTCCCCGAGCGCAGCAGAGAGGGTGAAAGGGTGGTGAAATGACGGGAGAAAAAGAGCAGGTAGAGAGTCCTGCGGAAAAGGACCATAAAATCCCAAATAAAAATTGGAATTGAGAATGAGCGACGGCTGCTGTGCTCAATGAATTTTCGCAATGGCAGCCTGCCAGGATCGAAGGATTCTCCCGGGGCGAGAGCGCAAGGGAGATAGGTCGAGCGTTAGAAGCAACCCTTACCTGATTTCTAGCCAATGAACGTCGAGTTTTGCTACCTAAGGGTGATCGCTGGCTGGATGAATGGATTTGGGCTCGAGGACTATTAAAACAGCCGGAGTCCTGAGAGCAGACAACACAAACCGTTCTGATCTCAGCGTGTTCACATCCTCAATCGTAGCAATCCGGGATAAAACAGCTAAAGCTGAAATCTAAGAGCAAGACTCAAAACGAATACAACGCTTAATCGCAGAGCAAACTAACGTGCCAAGTGCCGGAAAGTGAAATATTTTGTGTGAAAAACTTTTACAAAAAATCGTCAAAATTACGCCCCACATCAGTATGCAGTCGTCGGAAGGATCTCCAGAAATGATGGATCAGAAATACAACAGCGTGCGCTTGTCGCCAGCGGCTTCAAGTAAGTATAGTTTAAAAAATTTGAAAAAAGTTCAAAATTTAAACAAAGACAAATGTTTTAAAATTTGACTATAAAAAGTATCAACTTTTCTAACCAAACCCTTTCCTTATTTTTATCATTTTAGGTCGCATTCTATACCATGTGCCTTGCAAAGTTTGCCGGGATCACAGCTCTGGCAAACACTATGGCATTTATGCCTGTGATGGCTGTGCTGGATTTTTTAAGCGCAGCATTCGCCGTTCTCGGCAATATGTTTGCAAGTCCCAAAAGCAAGGACTCTGTGTGGTGGACAAGACCCACAGGAATCAGTGCCGTGCCTGTCGCCTGAGGAAGTGCTTTGAGGTCGGCATGAACAAGGATGCAGTCCAGCATGAGCGCGGACCCCGGAACTCTACCCTCCGTCGCCACATGGCCATGTACAAAGACGCCATGATGGGCGCTGGGGAACTGCCGCAGATCCCAGCCGAAATCCTGATGAACACCGCTGCCTTGACCGGATTTCCTGGTGTGCCAATGCCCATTCCTGGCTTGCCTCAGCGTCTGCCCCCACCGCCGCCGCAACACCATCATGCCGCCTTCCAGCCGCCACCGCCCACCGCCGCTGCCGTCTTGGACTTGTCCGTGCCACGAGTACCTCACCATCCGGTGCACCAGGGTCATCACCATGGCTTCTTCTCGCCCACTGCTGCCTACATGAACGCCTTGGCCACCCGGGCCCTGCCACCCACTCCACCTCTAATGGCCGCCGAGCACATCAAGGAAACGGCCGCCGAGCATCTCTTCAAGAACGTCAACTGGATCAAGAGTGTTCGCGCCTTCACCGAGCTGCCCATGCCCGATCAGCTCATGCTGCTGGAGGAGTCCTGGAAAGAATTCTTCATCCTGGCCATGGCCCAGTACCTCATGCCCATGAACTTTGCCCAACTGTTGTTCGTCTACGAGTCTGAGAACTCCAATCGTGAGATCATGGGCATGGTGACCCGTGAGGTGCATGCCTTCCAGGATGTCCTGAACCAGCTGTGCCATCTGAACATTGATAGCACCGAGTACGAGTGCCTGAGGGCCATCTCACTCTTCCGCAAATCGCCGCCGGCAGCCAGCTCCACCGAGGATCTGGCCAACAGCTCTATTTTGACCGGCAGTGGAAGCCCCAACTCCTCGGCCTCCGCGGAGTCCAAGGGCTTGCTGGAGTCCGGAAAGGTTGCCGCCATGCACAACGATGCCAAGAGTGCCTTGCACAACTACATCCAACGCACCCATCCAGCGCAGCCACTGCGATTCCAAACCCTTTTGGGAGTGGTTCAGCTGATGCACAAGGTCTCCAGTTTTACCATCGAGGAGCTGTTCTTCCGCAAAACCATCGGGGATATAACCATTGTGCGTCTCATCTCCGACATGTACAGCCAGCGCAAGATCTAATGTGTAACCTTTAAAATCCTTGAACTCCGTGCACTCGAAGTGCCTTCCTAGTGCTGGGAACTGTGATAATCTCGGGAGCGCTTTGGACTAAATATATATTAATATATATATCAATCAATAATTCAGTGAAGGAGTCAAGCCTTACAAAAAACAAAAACACAAAAAAATGCCAACACCTCAACTACCTTATCTTAACTAAACTAATCATAGTTCTTAAGTCTTAAACCTTCCACGAAGTGTTTCAAATTGCATTCGTCAAAAGTTTCAACTTTGCTTGTTAAATACGTCAATCGTAGCCTAGTTTATGTACAGTTAAAAACAATTAATTCTTAGTACATATCAACATATATTAAGCAATGAAAAACTATTAACACAATAAACCTAAAGGTTTTCGAAATGAACATTTTTAAATATTTTTATTTTGGGGTGAATGGGTTGACTTCTTTTTCATCTAAGATTCTTTTTCAGCTTTAGTTCTTAAAGTTTTCTTAAATTTCTTAAAATTTTGCCTATTTTCCCATTATCTAAAACCAAAAAATGGATTAATTTATGTCATTTTTAAACGATTTAAAATTTTTTATTTTATAAGAATGAATTAGGAAATTTTTCAAACGTTTCAAAGTTTATATCAGTCTTCAGCAGTTTAATCTATATTCAACTATTTATTTTCTAGAAACTTTTCAAAAATCTTACGTAGTAAAAGCACATACCACTTTTGATCCTTATATCTTGTATCTACTCTTATACACAAAACTTGTTTAAAAAAAACATACATATATGGATGAGATTGTTTTCTTTTAATTTATTGACTCAATGCTTTTGATTATTTATTTAACGTCTAATGCATTTGTAATTACTTCTTTCCATCGAAAAGTGTTATGACAAACACAGATTCATGAGATTATACCCAGCATTATCATATTGTTATGTTTTTTTTTGCCATTTTGTGATGGTTTTTTGCATCTTGCGAGACGTCTTTTAGTAGAAGAACCGCACAGCCAACCCAGTTAATCGAAAATAAATTATGCAAATGCAGGAACAAAGAAATGCCAGATCGCAGAAGGAATCAAAGCATATTAGCATAGTTTTTCCGCATGAGCAAACCAAAGTCGGGATTAATTTGGAAACCTTGACGGTTTTGCAATGGCCGCTCCAGTTGCTAGATATCCTTTCGCTCCATCCTTTTCCTTCCCCCGGAGTCGTCATTGAATTCGAAAAGTTAAAAAGCAAAATTCACTTTTGTGACTTTGTCGAGCGGCGTTGGATCGTTGGACCGGGTCATGGGTCTGGGACTAGGTTGGTGGTGGTGCTGCTGCTGATGCAGGAGATCGGGGATCGGTATGCCCGAAAGGACAATGCCTGCAAACGAATCCTTTCACAATAGAGCACCCAGAGCAGACGGATGAAAATGAGTTTTCGCTGGCAAAGGCTGAACAAACAACTCGAGGTACACAACACAGTTGCCAAATTGTACAAATTGCGTTGGCCAAAGTAAACATAGATACGAGTGCCTGTGGAATATTCTACTGACACACATATCCTGGGCGAAGGATGTGCAAAAACCTACCCTAACCGAGTCCAGAATCCCGTAGCCGGAATCCAAAGTCCCGAATCCAACCACGGCCCAGCACATCCTGCGGGGATTGGGATTTGGAATTAAGTATGCTTCGTTGGTGCTGCCATTTCGACTTTGGCAAGGACCTCGGGTTCATCAGGATGCTGTTGAACCCGGGGTAACAAATTCAGCTCGTTCGCTGCTGCGTCGCTGAGCCCTTTTAAGTCCTAATGGCCCTTTATTATCTGCCTTTAGACTTTTAATAGACTCAGGCATCAGGACAGCAATGGCAACAGCAACAGCAATAGCACCCTGCATTCGGAGAGTCCTTTATCTCAACTCTAGGCTGTGCTGGCTTAATCCTCATCATTCTGTCATCAGTGACGTTTTTCTGCACATTGTTGTTTCGCCATTGTTTGCGTCTTAATTTGCCGTTTTCTCTTGTATTTTTTGCACTATCGCCGAGCAAAGGATTTTCACTTTTTTTTCACTTCTTGATTTTTATAATGTCTCTTGAAAAGTGAAGGACAATGGCCAGCAAATCGTGAATTTTCGTAGAATGTGTCGGTTTTAACCAGGAGGAGAATTAAATAGGCTCTAAAATATAAGATACTATGGGTTACATTTTTCTCAAATTATAATTCTTGAGAACTTTTTAAGTAATAGCACCAACCGTATGGTTAAATAACGATATTTTGTGTGGTTACTGGAAGCCAATACTCTATTTTCGTTTTCAAATAATTTTAATTAATAGAGCTTGATTCCTTAATATTTTACGATGTTAAAAGTCCACCATGTCGTCCATTTACTATTGACCATTTTATTTAAAGTTCTAAATTATAACTAAATATATAAGAACGATTATAAAAACGAATTTGCATTTATAGAAACGTGGTTCATCGACTTTATTTGGAATTTAAAAAAATTAAGCTAGATGGATATTCGATTTTGATCCGATTTGTAGCACTACTGGGACTAACTTGTAGCTCACTTGAACTGCTTTAAATCTAAGAGCTTTAACCGGCCCGAGGGTATGATTGTGGGTGGAAAGGGGCACTAAGCCAAGCTCAGACGGAAGGGAATCTCAAGTGGCCAGGGGACTGGTTTTCTGGGGAAATTCACGATTCGCGGTGCGGAACAAGTGAGAGAAGCTGGTGGATTTTGGGTAACACGTTTAATTCATAGATTTTCGTTGATTAAGTAATCCCCAGAAGGGCTCAATGAAGGCGACCGCCGCCCGATTAGCGCAGTTCGCGTAAGCGGGTTCCTGGTTTTAGCCCAGGCAGGTGCCAAACAGGTTAAGGTTTCGCAAGCTTAACCCACTGAGCACTGAGTGTGTCTCACTAACACCACACCAGCCCTATGCCTGTCCCTCTCTCATTCCGTGGGTGATCCTTATCCAGGCGCAATTACCTAGCGAAACAAAAATATGAGTATGCAAATAGATTTTAATAGACAGGATTACCCTTTTGCTAAATACTCAAATCCTGGCCGGGCGGTCTGCTCCTTGTTCGCAGGAGCATCTCTTCTAAAATATTTTTCCTTTGTTTTCAAATGTAATGAGAATGTCTCTAAGCCAAAATATTAAACATCCGTTTGAGCCTGGTCGACCGGAGAGCGAGAGCGAGCTAGAGGTTGCAAATCCGGCTTCCGATTGTCCTTGCACTCTGTTGTTGTACCTGAAGTCAGGACAAAGTCCTTGGTCCTGCGGCCAGCAAAAGTCAAAGCGGCAGCCCCGACCCAGCGTTGTTTTTGTAAATTGAGTAGCTCGATTTATCGCCAGATCAATTTTCTATATCTGCCGCTCAGATAAGCGGGAACAGCACTGTGGTGTCTTGTGCCTCAAAATTGTTTTCTCTGGCTTATACACCGGCAACTAAGCCTGATTTTCGTCCTGGTCCGAGGTCTGAGCCTTGCTTAGTTACCTTAAGCTCAGCTTAACTTACTTTAGTGGGCAAATGGCAAATTTTCGTTGGAAAAATCTTTGGAGTTCTTATTGTATTTTGCATACACATTGGCGGCGGCATTGTCTTTGACGCTTAGCCGCTTAATTTGTCAGACAAGCGGGCAAAAATGGAGGGATGGGTACACTGGTAAAAACACTGATAGAAACAATAGGAAAACGAAGTCAGTAAAAAAATAGCGCTTAATTTTTGTATGGTTAATTTAAGGTTATTGTAAGGTTGGTAAAACTATAAAAACATGTTAAAAGATATAAAAATATTTATAAATTTCTTTCGAAGAGACCTTAATATTTTTTTTTATTATTTACTTAAGTAAAAGCTACTTTAAAAAAGATAATAGCGTGCCGATCATCTAAAACTATTTTCTAATTCCACTTCTGTAGAAAGGCTATAAAACGTCTTTGAAAAAATATTTTCTTGTTGTTATCGGTTTAAAATATCCAAAACCATAAATATGCTTGGTTCTTTTAAAGAATACATAAATGCAGAGAATGAATTTGTAATTTAAAAGATATAAAAATTGCAATTGTTGATACAATGGTTAACCTTTCAAAAAAACTCGATTTTGTGCTTACATTTGCTTAGATTTTTTGATTTTTTGATTACAGTTTATTAATTTTTAGAAAACCGAAATCACCAACTTTAGAAACACTGTTTTGACAAAAACTCGTGCAAAGTTATCCGGCTCCATGTGTGACGCTCTGACATGACCATATAAATCAATAGCTCCAAAAATATATATCAGATTGAGTTAAAATGTTGAAAGGACATGCTCATGTAGATTAAAATAATTTAAAACAAATATTTTTGACTGTTAGTTAAATTAAAAATATAAGATTTGATACACCTCTTGTTAGTCTCGCAAACAGAATGTTCAAGAAATAAAAGCAACGTTAAAAAAAAAAAAAAAAAAAATTAAAGATTTGTTGAATATCCTAACTGCGTATAACACTTTAAATATAATTTATATCCTCCTATATCCTATCTAAGAAGGAGTTTAAAATCTAAAAACTTTAATCTTTTAATATCGAAACTTTTAACTTTTCACAAAGGAAAGATTTTAAACTGAATAGATCGACTTATAAACCTCATTAGCCAAACACTTTGAATCCAACAGCTGCTTCTTTTTTGAAGAGTGAGTAAAATTGTTAACAATAAATTTCTTTTCACGTAGCTGTTTAAGATCACTATTATCAATGTCTGCTATCCGAAGCGATTAGGGCAAGGACATCATATTACAGGATCAGCGAAGCGTGTTCTACTTTTTGATACATTTTGCACTAGCTACCCCTCATCTCCTTTTTTGTGGGTCTTCCCTTTTTTATTATTTCGTGTCCCTAAGTACTTGATGCTGGAGTCTAAGTCTCTAGAAAATCTGTGCACATCCTTTTGATTGTTGCCATCTAAGGACGGGACAATGGCTTAAGGTCCTGGCGACGAGTGGACCTCCTGGAGGTGAGAAAAATATTAAGGGCAAATCCGCTGAGCCCTCGAAAATCTGAAGAGCAACTTGCGTTTAACCTCAAGAAAGTTGCAATTGCCCGCATTATTTTGTCGATCGATGGTTTCCTTTTGTTTCGGCTGAGTTCGTTGGAAATTCCGCTTACAGGGAATATCGACAGGCTAACAAGTGTTATACGATCTGCGACAGTTTTTTCTTTCAATTTTTCTGAGGGCCTCAGTTCAAGGACTTGCAATCAAAAGCTGGACCACCGCGAATGCATCATCTTGTGTGTCCTTAATTCACTTTGAATAGGGGTCGTCGCCTGAGAAACTTTCTGCAGCTGTAGGATCTACGTCTCTTCTGGGTTTTAATTTTTTTCTTAATTCTATCAGCAGAGGTCGGAAGTGGTGGAAGCTGCATTTGTGGATTTGCCTTCAG